TGCATGCATGCATGCATGCATACATACATACATACATACATACATACATACATACATACATACATATGTTGCATTTGTGCTGATAAATAAAGGGAGACTAGTATAGATCTATTTTAAGCTATTTAGCTCTCATCAGCTAGCCATTCCCTTACTGGGATTCGAACCTGTGCTGTATTGCATATTAAGCAGTTGTGTTAACCACTAAGCCACAAGGTTCTCCTCCTTTATCAGATTATATATATATATATCCCACCTATCCTATGTATCTGTCTATATATCATCTATATTACCTATGAATCTGTAATTATCATCTAATTATATATCTACAGCAGCGGTGGGAATTAACTTACCTTCCCTCTACTGGTTTGCCAGTGTGAGCGTGCCCTCCTTCTGAAGGTCGTACATTACATTGGGGAGGGTGGGCAGAGCCTCCCGCAGCCCCCGCTACCAGTTCGTCCGAATTGAATACTACTTCTGATGGAGTGTATTTTATCCAAATATCTGAATCTATCTCTCTATCATCTATATTATCCATCTGAATCCATATCTACCCCGCCCCTCTCTCTTCATCCATCCATCCACCACCCACCCACCTACCTACTTATCTACTTACTGGTAACTATGTATGCGCGTACAAATTCCACCGCTCTTATTTTTGGAAATCATTCAAAGCAACTCAAGTCAACGCAAATCTCCAACAGCCCAACTTCCTTCTCCTGTTTTCCCCATCACAACGGCCCTATGAGGTGGGTTGGGCAGAGAGAGAGAGAGAAAGAGAGAGACTGGTCCAAAGTCACCCCCTTCTCCAATCCAGTGGGCCCCTTCCTCCGAGGAGCCCTCGTCACTGTGTGAATGCCACTGGTGGTTTTCTTCTCCGTAGTTAGGCCCCGAGCCCTTTCCCCTATGGTGAGACACTAATTCCACTTCCCGCCCCAAAGAGCCTACTCTTAATAATAATCAGACTAGAACTGGAAGGGTCCTCAGAGATCTTCTAGTCCAACCCCCTGCCTAGGCAGGAAACCCTACACTACTTCAGACAAATGGTTATCCAATATCTTCTTAAAAACTTCCAGTGTCGGAGCATCCACGATTTCTAGTACCAAGCAGTTCCACTGGTTAATTGTCCTACTGTTAGGAAGTTTCTCCTTCACTTCACTCCTCTCTTTGGTACATTTCCATCTGTTGTGCCTTCTGGTGCTTTGGAAAATAAGTTGGCTCTTCTTTGGGGCAGCCCCCCCAAATACTGGAATGGTGCTCTCATGTCCCCCCCCCCTCCTCCTTTTCTCTAGATTCCGTTATTTGTATGTTTTAGTCTCCGGGCCTCTTAATCTTCTTAATTGCTCTTGCTGGCACTTTTCCCAAAGTTTCCACATCTTTTTTTGTAACGTGGTGACCACATCACGGGATGCAGCATTCCAGGTGTGGCCCTTACTAAGGCTTTACAAAGCGGAGCTAAACCTTCCTGTGGTTTTGACTTTATGCCTCTGTTTAGAAAGCCAAGGATCGTTGTTAAGCTTTTTCGGCCACCGCCACACGTGGCCAGCCTTCAGGATTGTCCACTGGGGACTCCAATGTCCATGTCACCCTTCCTGTTTTTCATGCCAGCTTTTGTCCTTTGCACCTTCGATAAGGAACCCCGAAACTGCCCCACCACACCTGTTGAACTTCCCTTTCAACTCGGGGATCCATCCGTCATCCTTCCATGCTCTTCCCACGGGGGGATCGGGGGCGCAGTGACATTAAGTGGGTCGGCTGATACCGAGGTGAAAGGTCGACGGAGCCTGATATTTCTATTGCTATTTGTTTTCGTCCATTTGCCCCCCCCCCCCCCAATTTTACAACCTTTCTGGCCGTGGCTGTGAAGGGAATCCCTGCAGTGGTTAAGTTAGTTACACATGGTCGTTAAGTGAACCGGGTGACTCCGATCGACTTGGCTGCAATGGTCGTAAGTGCGAAAAACAGCCCCAAGTCCCTTTTGTTTAGGGCCGTCATCACTTGGAATGGTCGCTAAACGAACCGTTGTAATTCGAGGATGACCTGTTTTCTAATAGGATCAGAACTAATTGCCAAACATCTAAATTTCAATTGTCAGCGCCTGATTTGGAAGATGGGTGTCCTCAACTTATGACCGGGAAAATTTCCGCTGCTGAGAGAGATGTGTGTTAAAATGTGTGTTGCCTGGGTGGTGAACTTTCTTGCCACTGTCGTTAAGTGAGTCCTTGCAGTTGTTCCAGTAAGGTGGTCATTAAGTGAATCTAGGTGCTTGTTGGTCAGAAGGTCCCCCAAGGGGATCATGCGATCCTTGGATATGAGTCCGTTGCCAAATGTCTGAGTTCCGATCACAGGATCACAATGGTCGTAAGTGTGAAAAACAGTCCTAAGTCCCTTTTTGCATGTGCCATCGTAACTTGGAACGGTCGCTAAGCGAACTACCTGCACAGGTACTCCTCGATGTACAACAGTTCATTTACTGAACCTTCCAAATTATGACAGCCCTTATAAAGGATTTTTTCACACTTAACGACCATCCCAGCATCTCCTTGGTCACACGAACCAAATTCAGACGCTAGGCAACTGACTCACATTTACAACGGTCGCACAGTCCCAGGGTTTGCGTGATCCTCTTTGGCGGCCTTCTGGCAAGCTAGGTCGATGGGGAAGGACCGATTCACTTAGTGACATAGTACCTTATTTTAACCCCTGCAAGCATTCACTTAAAGGACTGCAGGAAGAGGTGTTGTAAAATGGGACAACCTCCCTTAGTCAATGTTTTCGCTTAACAGCATCAGTTTCGGGCTCAGTTGTGGTCGTAAGTTGAGGACTACCTGCATTCCTAAATCTTGGCCACTTTCAGAACTTTAAAAAAACAAAAAAACAAAACCTCCGGGCATTTTCAGCTGCACATGCGCACAAGTGCGAAAGAAACGTAACCTTCCGCCGCACATGGGCCTTTGAAGTTGTGAACCCCGCCCTGCCTTTCCGAAGGTTTAAGAAACACTGGGCATCTTCCACCGCACATGCGCAGAAGTGCGAAGGAAGGGTGCTTTAAAAACTGCGGGCACCACCTGCCGCACATGCGTAGAAGTGCCAACCAAAGCGCCTACTTCCCCCCCCCCGGCCTTTTTAAGGCGTCGTAAGAAAGTCAGGGCACCTTTCTCCGCACTTGCGCAACTTTAGGCGACGAAGGCACCGACTCTGCCCTTCTTACTTAAAGTTCCCATCGCGCACGCGCAGGGCGGCGTCTTTTTTGGGGTTCCCCCCCCTTCGTCGACGCACGCGCGGCGGTGGGGCGTTTTTTTCCCCCCCCTTCCTCTTCGTCGTCCGAACTCGGGCTAGGGCGGGCTGGTTTGGGCCCCGCGGCGCATGCGTGGTCGGGCGCGGGGCCTGCCTGGCATTGTCCCGCGCGCGCGCCAGCAATGGAGAGTCCCGGCCCGCCCTGAGGTAATTTTTTTTTTTTTGGCGCCAGTAATGGCGGCCGCTGAGGCGGCTGAGGCGACTTTTCGTCGTCGCCGGGCTTCTTCCCGAACCCGCCAAGCCGTCCTTTGGACCCGGGCTCGGAGCCTTTGCCGTCGGCTCCGGGCTCTGCAAGGCCAGCAGGTGGAACGGCATGTCCGTCAGCAGCTGAACGGCTTGGTGGGCCGAAGCCGGGCGCGGCCTGGTCGGAGCGGCGGCGGGGCCGAGCTGAGGCGGCTGGCGGCCGAGGCTCAAGCCCGGCTCCGGGCGGCCCAGCGGGGCTGCGACTCGGACGCCACGGAGAGCGCCTCGGCCGCCTCTTCTTCCTCCTCCTCCTCCTCGTCTTCCTCCTCGTCCTCGTCCTCTTCTTCGTCTGGCTCCTCCTTCGGGAACTCCTCGTCCTCCTCCTCCTCGTCGTCCCCCTCTTCCTCAGACAGCGAGGGCCCCGAGCCGGGCCCCGGACTCCGATGCAACGCCGGGGTGGGGTGAGTCTCTCCTCAGGGCTGGTCTTGGGGGAGGGGAGGATGGTTTCCACGGGCCTGGAGGGGGTGTAACACCTGTAGAATGGGGAGTGTGTGTTTGTGTTTAAGACTTTAAATTGGACCCCGGTCTGCATGTAAATGTGTGAAGCCTGATATTGATTTGTGTGTGTGAATGGAGACTGAGATGGGTGTGTAGATCTGCGAATGGAGCCTGACCTCTGGGTGTAGATATGTGAATGAAGTCTGAGATGGATGTGCACATGTGAATGGAAGTGTGACGTGTACATGGAGCCTGACCTATGTGTACATGTGTGTCTACAATGGAGCTTGGCATGGGTATGTAAAGGTGTGAATGGAGCCTGAGATTGGTGTGGATAGGTGTGAATGGGGACTTGGATCAATGTACACATGTGAATGGCCTGATATGGGTGTGTAGACATGTGAAAGGAGCCTGACATCTGGGTGTACGTGTGAGTTATGAGTGTCTACACATATGAATGGAGACTAATATAGATGAATGTGTGTGAATGGAGCCTGACCTGGGTGTTCATATGTAAATGGAGCCTGAAATGGGTTTGTATACAAGTGTAGATGGAGCCGCAAGTGAATGAAGCCTCAAATGGGTGTCGATATGACCTCGGGGTGTACACGTGTGGATGGAGCCTGACATCGGTGTACATATGTGGATGAAGACTGATAAGCATGTTTACACATGTGAATGGAACCTGACATGGGTGTATTCGTATGCATGGAGCCTGATATTGTTTTGTTTTGTGAGTGGCGTCTGAGATGGGTGTGCACATGTGAATGGAAGTGTGACGTGTAGGTAGAGCCTGACCTGTGTATACATGTGTCAGTGGAGCTTGACATGGGTATGTACAGGTGTGAATGGAGCCTGAATTACTCCGTTCCTCCTCTTTGTCGGGCTCCTCGCTCAGGAACACCTCAGACACTAAGAGCCCGAGGCCCCGAGGCAGGGCCAGAGTAGGGCGATTGTCTTGTCAGAGAAAGGTTGCCCCGGTATGATGGTGTAATACATGTCAATGCAGCCTGACTTCTAGGCGTGGACATGTGTGAATGCAGCCTGACCAGGTTGTGTAAACATGGCAATTGAACCTGAGATGGATGGATACATGTGAATAGGGGTGTAACGTGTAGATGATCTTTGTGTACAGGTGTGAATGGAGCCTGACATGGGTTTATGCATGTAAATGGGGTTCTACACATGTACATGGAGCTTAACCTGGGTGTGTACAAATGCGAAAGGAGCTTCGTTTGGGTTTTATACATGTGAATGGAGCCTGACCTGGATGTATACATGTATGAATGGGGCCTGACTTGGGTCTGTGCATGTGTGAATGGAGCAGGACCTGGTATGTGCATGTGGGAATGGGGCCTGACATGGTTGTGTAAATGGAGCTTCAGTTCATGTGTAAATGCAGCCTGATCGGGTTTTATAGCCATGGTAATGGAGCTAATCGTGGGAGTACATGTGTGAATGGAGCCTGACATGGGTTGCACATGTGTGAATGGCGTTTCGGTTTGCTGCATACGTGAATGGAGCCTCACCTGTTGTGTGCATGTGGGAATAGGGCCTGAGCTGGATCCATATATGTTAAAGCAACCTGGGTGTATACTTGTGTGAATGGATATTCACATGTGAATTCAGCCTGACCTGGGTGTGTACATGTGTCAGTGCAGCCTAACATGGGGCCAGGGTTGGGCGGAGTCCAGGCCACTCCCAGGACAGGCTGCCTCTCCCTGAGTTTGAACTCTTTCGGTTGAATTTCTGCCTTGCTCTGAGACCTCTGCCTGCCCAATCCCCTCGCTTGGACTTCTTTTGCCAAAGAAACCGACAGGTGGCCCTGTTTCCTAGACAGGGGAAGGGGGTGTCTTTTTGGGAGGGAGGGGCAACGAGACTCACCTGAGAGTGGGGTAGGGTTGTGGGGGTTGGAAACTGGGATTCAGATGCTGTAGAGGTGTGAAAGGGAAGGAGTTGCGTTCCCTTAGCCCAGCACTGATGACATTCCCTAGTTGGGACATGAGGCATCTGCAAGACACAAACCTGGCTCATGGGGCACCAAGGACCCCACAGTGCTTCCTCCTCCTCCTCTTCCTCCTGTTCATTGCAAGCCCCAACCCTTCTAGCAGTAATGATGTTATCTAGTGGCGGTGGTGGGATTCAAATTTTTTTTACTATCAGTTCTGTGGGCATGGCTTGGTGGGCATGGCATAGCATTGTGGGTGTGGCTTGGTGGGCGTGGTATGGCTGTGGGTGTGGCAGGGGAAGGATACTGTAAAACCGGTTCTCCGAACTACTCAATTTTTCTGCTACTGGTTCTCCAGAACTGGTCAGAACCTGCTGAATACCACCTCTGCCTAGTTGGGTCATGAGACTTCTGCAAGACAAAAAACCGGCTCAGAGAGCACCAAGAATCTGCAGTCTACCTCCTCTTCCTCCTCCTCCTTCTCTTCTTCCTTTTCTCCTCTTCCTCCTCCTCTCCACAACCCCCCTCCGTTCTAGCTCTGATGATGTTCCCCAGTTGTGTCTTGAAACATCTGCAAGAAAAAAATCCTAGCTCAGAACCCCTGAGTCAAAGTCATTGTCCCCTTTTGCGACCTTCCGACCTGCAAAATCAATGCCTGGTTCGCTTAACGACTGGAGCAAAGAAAGATTGTAAGATGGGAAAAGGCTGACCAAACTCTCTTGCTTCGCCACAGCAATGTCGGGTTGACATTGGTCATAAGCCGAGGACTATCTGGGTGAGGGAGTGTTTTTCCCAGCATGCCACTAGAATCTGGCTTCAGAGCGTATGTGTGTGTGTGTGAGAGAGAGAAATTACAGATAATCCTCGACTTAGGACCCCATTTGAGGGGTGAGTTTCTGGTGCTGAGTGAGTTTTGGTCCATGTGGCAAACTTCCTTGTACCTGTCATTAAGCAAATCGGTTGGCTGTGTGGTTATGTGAAGCACATCCAGCTTCCCCATTGACTTTTTTAAGCGTGTCGCAAAAGGGGGAATCCCATGAGCCTGGGAACACCACGACTCTCATATGTACGAGTTGGTGGCCAAACATCTTGAATTTGGAACGCGTGAGCATGAGGACACAAGTGCGAGAAAAGGTCGTGAGTCCCTTCTTTCTGTGCCGTGGGAACTTTGAACAATCACTAAATGAAGTGTTTCAACTTGAGGACTACCTCAGAAGAGAGTCGTACCGCCTCCCCTCGAACCCAGATCCCTTTTCTTACACATTTACGGGTTCAGCGTTTTGCCATTCTTTGAAGCTGATTTGTTCTTCTTACTACCACTTAAATTCAAGTAAAGGGTTACATTGCTTAGTGTCACCAAGCCCGGCAGTCCCTGTTGCCGTTAGTAACTGAATCACACTGGTGGTTGTGAGGACCCACCTCAATCCATGCCATTCCTGCTCAACTCCTCTAACAGGTGAAGGGTCTTCTCCTCTTGAACAGCCCGGCCCATCTGTCTCTCCCCTCCATCTTTTGCTATTTTCATTGCCCTGCACAGTGACCACGGCCCGACCATGGTGGCAATACTGGGACTGAATTATATGAAGTCCTCGACTTACGACCACAATTGAACTCAAAACTTCCATGGCTAAGGGAGAGCGTTATTTTGTGAGTACCTTTCTTGCCAATTGCTCAATGAATCCCTGTAGTTTAATTAGTTGCACGGTCATTAAGTGAATGGCTTAACTCCACCCCCATTGACTTTGCTTCTCAGAGGGTCGCAAAAGGGGATCATGTGACCCTGGGATGCTGCAATCCTGATTACAGACCATGTTTGTGTGTTTGTGTCTCTGTTCCTGCAACCTGAAGTGGCAAAGAACAGCCTTCAGTGAGATGTTACAGATGTCCTCAACTTATGACCAGAATTGAGCGCCAAAATGTTCTGTTGCCAAGTGAAGCGTTTGAAGGGGGTTTTGCCCCATTTTACAATTTTCTTTGACATGGTTATTAAGTGAATCACTGCAATTGGTAAATGAGTCGCATGTTTGTTAAGTGTAACTGGTTTTCCCCCCACCCCCTTGCCTTTGCTTGTCAGGAGATCGGCAAAGGGGGTCACATGACCCCTGGATACTGTAAGCGTTGTAAATATGAGTTGGTGGCCAAGCGTCTGAATTTTGATCTCTGCTTAGGATTGTGTGAGCAACAATTGTAAGTCTCCTTTTCCATGCCGTTGTAACTTGAACGGTTTGTAAATGAACTGTTGTAAGTCAGGGACTACCCATATTACATGCCAGTTACTAAGTGGGATGCTTCGATCATCATAAAGACATGCCAGTTGACAAGGTACTGGCCTTGTCCAATGGAAAATTGGCGGTTTGAAACCCGAGCTCTCCACAAAGGGGTGAGCTCCCATCCCTGGCTCCAGCTTCTGCCCACTTAGCAGTCCAAAAGCATGAACATTTTTCTTTATTTTAGAAAACTTAGAAAAATTGCCCCTGGGGTCTCAAGGCAGCTTATTTGAATATAAAAATGTCATATAAAAATAATAAAAGAAAATAATAAAATGATAAATCAGTAGTCCCCCACCCTACAAAAGACTAGTAGATAAACAGGTTACACTTCGGTGGAAAGGTAACACTGTTCCATGGCCAACATGGTATATAAGTCATGTTATCTAGAGCCACGTGGGCTAGATGACCATAGAAGCATCTTCAGACAATCCTGGCTTCTTTCCCCAAGAAACCGAGATGAATACCATGCTGTAGAGTTAGACACAGGTTATCTTTAGACCAGCGCCTGAATTTTGACCCTGTGACCATGGGGATTCCACAACGGTTGTGTGAACAATGGTTAAACTTAGGGTTTGTTTAGTGTCACCCAAACTTCCGATGGTGTTTAAGTGTGGACTATCTGAACTTGAAAGGTGATCTGAACAGTGGGCTTCTTGGTGCTCTCTGAGCTGGGTGATTTTCTTGCAGACATTTCATAACCCAACTGGGTAAGATCGTCAGTCCTACAAGGGAGGTAGGATTGTGGAGAGGAGGAGGAATGTAGTGGGGTCCTGGGTGATGTCTGAGCTGGGTGGTTTTCTTGCAGATGTTTCAGGAGCCAACTAGATAATGTCTTCAGTGCCAGAAGAGGTTTGTGAGAAGAGGAGGAGTCCTGGGTGTTCTCTAAGCTTGGCTGTTTTGGTGGCCAGACCTTGAAAGCTTGCCAAATGACCTTCCGGAGAAAATCTGAAATATGAAACTGAGTTGTTAAGAGACGAAGACGAGAAAGGCTTAACCAAAGTTTCCTAAGTTCCCTTCAGAGCAACCTAGGATTTGGCTTTTGGGTAGACCTGTGTACGAATAGATGTATATATATTTCAATCCTTGTGTCTCTGGTGCACCAAGCTGAGTGAAGAACACTAATGCTTGTGTGTCAATGCTTCTGCTTTTAGGCGCCGGCTGGCACAGCGCCAGTGGGCGATTGAGAGAGCGGCCATCATCTGTCGCTGGACATGGCTACAAGCTCAAGTGTTGGACCTGGAGTATCGGATAAGGCAGCAGACCGATGTTTACAAGCAGCTCCGTGCCAACAAGGTAAGGCCAACTTCCTTCCTTTCCAGAAGCATTTTCATATGGGTGCCTCGAAAAGCAGTTCATTTAGTGATACTGACTGTTCAGAATTTTATCATGGCACTTGAAAAAAACCAGGACCTGGGATGGCTTTTATGAACCACCGCAGCATTTCCTGCCCCCCTCCTTCCGGAGTCACTGTGCTCAAAATGTGTACTGGCTCATATTTATGACTGTCCTGGGGTCAGAGGATTCACCTTTGGGGCGACCTGAAGCCAGGTTCACTGAATAATCATACAATTGACTTCAGAATTGCCGGGGTTCACTCAGAAAGGTTGTAAAATTGGGGCAAAGCTCACATCCCATCATCAGTGCAAGAGAAGTGTGAGGTTTGCTCTCTGTACATAAAGTCCCTTCTAGACCTGATGGTGTTCCCTAGTTGGGTCATGAAATGTCTGCAAGAAAACCACCAAGCTCAGAAAGCACCAAGGAGCCCTAATTTATTATTTCTATTTAATGTGGATGGGT